AATTCAACAATAACATCATTATCCTTTGTTATTTGCGAAACGCTCAAGAGATTTTTGGCTATACTAGGAACACACAACATATTTCTCAAATTCAACACCTTAGGAGAGAAATCAGAAGGTATAAAGTTAATACCTGTATGTGTAATGGGGACTGTATGTGCATTACCAACCTGAACCTGAGTACCTCCTTGATAAGCTGAGTAAAGAAGCGTGTTTTGAGGATCTGTAGTCACGTGGTTTGTAGCTCCAGAATCTACAAACCAGGTCTGATCATATAAGGTGTGAAGAGTAGCAGGTACGAAGGAACCTTGTTGCTTAGATATATATGTGATTGCTGAATTAGAGGTAACTCCTTCACCAGTAATTGGAGCTGTCAAAGATGATGATTTAGGCACATTGTACAGTTGTGATTGAGGTGAAACATGATGTTGAGATGAAGAACCAATTGAGCCATGATTAGGTTGAGATCCATAGTGTGAATATAAGAGGGACTGAGAAGGCATGACTCTTGTTGCCATTAGTGCTTGAGTCGAAGCACCGGTATAGTTAGGACTTGTGATGTTGGTTGAGTGAATAGGAAGTGAGCCAGTAAGACCTTGGTATTCATGATTAAAACGATGATAACAGTGGAGAGCAGAATGACCAGTCTTCCCAAATACTTGGTAGATGAGTTTAGGTTGAAAATAGCCTCCTCGACCTTTGCCTCGTCCTCTTTGCATATTAGAACCAAACATCATCATTCCAGGATAGTGAGAGAACTGAGGATGAAATTCAGGTCGGTATTCATGTGAAAACATATTACCACCATCAGAAGAGCCATTTTACGAAGTCAAGTATTGAGAAGGAGAATAGACAGGTTGAACACTTGGATTCCCAAAGTGTGATGATGCATTAACTGGTACAGAGGCTGTCATATTACCATTCTTGAACTGAGAATTTACAGTGATAGCAGTTTCACTTTATTTTGTAGCAAGCAATGCTGAAGCTAAATGATCAGACAAATTAGAATACACATTATGTTGTCTTTCAAGTCGAATTTCATGTTTATGAAGAAGATACTGAGCTTTTTGTAGAGTAACCTGACTGCTAGTTGTTGTTAAATTGGCTACAACAGCATCATATTCAAGCCCTAGCCCGTCTAGTATGTACAATAACAACTCTTCATCATTGATTAAGACTCCACTAGCTACTAACTCATCACTTAATTCCTTCATTTTCAAAACATACTCATTCATAGTAAGTGCATCCTTCTTAGTACTTTGTAAAAGACTTCTTAAATGTAGAGCTCGAGCCTTAGAGGCTAAATGAAAATGCAGTTCTAGTGTGTTCCAGATATCATAGGCAGTAGTGCATTTTCCAACATGACGAAAAATAGATTCATAAATGGTAGAATTTAACCAGCTCACCAAGAATTGATCAATTCATTGCCAAGAGAAGTAGTTAGGGTTACCTCTTTTCTTCGGTTGCTCAGACTCATCTGATTTGTCAATTATAAACATCGGAGGACAAACCCTCTCTCCTCTGATATGGCCTTCAAGTTCATGACCAGTAAGAGCTAGAAGAATTTGAGACTTCCAATAGTTATAATTTTTGTCGCTCAATTTGACAAAGATTGAAGGTAGCGTTGGCGGTGTAGTTGGATTCTCCATTTGCATCGAAGTATTTTGCATTTGTTTTTCACAGAGAGATTTCAACAAATAGAAAATTGGACTAACAGTAAATTGAATTGAAAACGAACACAGAAGACAAAAGAACACAGGATCAAATCTTGCCTAAGGCGTGTGTCTAAGGCTCTGATACCATGAAAGAATAAAGAAGAAGTTTCTGAATCAAGAACAAGAAAAACAATGCAGAGAAAAATAGAGGAAGCAAAACTGAAATTGCTTTCTTTTCTAACTAACTTTTCATAGTACACGTGATGAGTATTTAAGCAAGTATTGCATGAAAGTCAAGACGACACCGTTTTCCTATTTGGCTAATTTCACATTTGTCCTTCATTCTAACAATGTCTTAGTAGTCCAAATGAATTGAGTGATCAAATTCGACAACTTCACTACACTAATCAAATGAATATTAATTTCTTCCTCAATCATCCAAGTGAGTAACTAAGTCGTGTATGTTTTAACTGAAGAATAAATCATTACTTAAATTAGATAAGAAGAGGAAATAAATAATCTTAATCTTAAGGATGATAGTACAGAAATACGAAAAGTTTTTAGCCAAGAAGCTCTAAACATGCTTGAGAAGTTAGAAATATTTTGGCTTCAATAAAAAGGTGTCCACGTTGACGACTTATTACGTACCTGCAAGATAAAAGATTTGGTAACAACTCTAAACATAAATCATTGTTTTAAACAACTTTAAATAAATATTTTATTTTATCTTAAATCTTTCATGTAATATAGTGTATATTTTTTGTAATATACATATAATTATTACTATATATATACAAGTTTCTTAAAACGGGACCTAAAAAAATTATAACTTAATATAACATGAAATTTATTGTTATTTATAACTGGCTCAAGTTAGAATCATAATTTTTTTATGATTATATATAAATTATTCTTATATCAAGTATATTATAAAAAGATTCTATTTTACAGGCAAAATAATACCAAAAATATATAAAAAGCGTGTACATAACACAATACTTCTAATCTTTGAGCTGGGTGATTCTTGGGGAGAATATTTCTTGGAACACGTTCTACGGGATTTTATGCCTTAATTATATGGTACTCTTAAGGGAATATTGACGTAAGAGAATACCTTATTTCACGGATATGTCATAATAAAAAAAAAAAAATCACTTTAATCATAAATAATGTAATACATGGGATAGCTACTTAAACCCCCTTAGGTTTGGCTTTCATCGCCCCCAGTTCACCACCACCAGCACACCACACACCCGCCCCCCCCCCCCCCCCCCCCCCCCCCACCCCCCCCCCCCCCCCCCCCCCCCACAAAAAAAATGATTGCAAATGAGCCCGATACACCCACCGTCAACGAAGCCCAACCAGTGTGCTCCCACCGTCACGAGCCCCAGGAACCACTTTTATTTTGAATTTTGTTCGTTCATTCCCTTTTATTTTTTGAAATTTGTTTTCACCTTTCCCTCTTCAAAGTTGGCCAATGATGTGTGTTGTGAATTATGTGCTGAATATGTACCTATGGCTTGTTGAATTGGAGTTTGAAATGACATATGGGAGAGTCGATGGTTTTTTATTTGTATAATTATGGTGGCGATAAGCAGCCTGCTGGGTTGCAGTTTTATTGAGGTGGTGTTTCGCGGGAGGGTTGATATTATTGTGGAATGATGTTGCGCCGGAGAGAGAGAGGGTGTCGCTTGGGTTGTTTGCGAAGGAGGGTTCTGAGCATGGGAGGGAAGTGAGGCGTGGCAAAGAAGAAGGGCATTAAGGTCATTCACTTTCTCTCCGTTAAAACTACAGAGGATTGACAAACTACAGTGGGTTCTTAGTTGTTATCCCATAAACATATATATAATAGCTCTAGCTCACTTTGAAGTTTGAATTTAAGAGACAGGAAAACATTGGACAAGTTGAGTGTGACAGTGCGTGAGTAAAAAGCAAGGTTCTGAAAACCGGACCGGACCATCCGGTCGGACCGGTTCGACCGGTGACCGGCGGCATTTCCGGTCCAGAATAAGTAAAAAACCGTTATTTGCATTTAAACCGGATTGGACCGCGGTTGGACCGCCAGAATAGTGCCGAATCGCGGTCCAATCGCGGTTGAATCCCGCCGGATTCCGGCACCGATCGAGGGAGAAATCACCGCCATTAGACTTGACGGCATCTCCACTACAAAACCCTGCCATTTTCAGCGGCCATCGTCGCTCGCCGTCCACCTAAACTTCACGCGACCGTCAGAGTTATTTTGTTGATTCCGGCGATTTCTGGCGCCGATGGAACTCCTTGGCACCATCATCAGAGTCGTCGACACCTACACATCAAAAGCCTTAAGATTCCAGCTTCGATTGGCTGTCGATCGTCGCTGCCGTCACCACTCACCAGAATCTTCGCATGACAGGGGTGTTTTAGATAGATTTCAAACCTTAAGGGAGTATTATAGGGGTGTTTTTGATAAATTTTAAACCTGTAGGGACTAACAGTAATTTTATAAATTACGGTCCAACCGACCGATCCAACCGGTCAAACCGGAAACCGGACCCTTAAACGGGTCATTGCCCGGTCCGGATTTCAGAACATTGGTAAAAAGTAATTAATTACTCTGTACAGTTGCCGCTTGGCACTTGAAAGTGTTAATTAATTATTCCTATCTATAAAAGTGTTAGAAACTAATTGAAGAAGAATTTTCTAATTTATTCATTTTTCATAGTTATTAAATTTAAAACGGTTTTCGGATGTGCCTTGCGGCGGTGCGGGAATGTAGCTTTCCTATATAAGAGTAAGATTGCGTTAGGAAAAACTCACATTTACAGATAAAAATTGTGATTAATTGAAGAAAAATATGTCCTCTACTCAGGTTTCAACAGCTGCAACTTCACCACCGAAACCTATTCGTCCCATTGCTAATTTCTGTCCCACGATATGGGGAGACCAGTCCCTCAAAGATGATTCTGAAACGTACAAGTATATATGCATTTTATAGAAATATATTTTACCTGTACATGCATTCACTATTTTTCGTAAAAGTATTTGTAATATGGAGAGATAGTATTTGTGTGGTACAAAGGAGAGACAGCGTCATTCATTAAACCTTAATACAATTAATTCACATGCAACATAATTAAACATAACACCAATCAGACTCTCTTGTTGTACATATCAATTATTAAACCTTTGACTCTCTCGGTTAACGTACATACGTGTATTCATACATATAAAGAAGAGCATGCATGTAATTACTAAGTGGATTGGAATATATATATATAATTTTTTTTTTTCGCAGAAAATTAATCCTACAACTCAAGAAGATCGAATATGAACAACTGAGAAGAGGTAAAGACTCTAAACTTGATAATGAATACTACAGATGCACCAGTAGAGAAACTAAAGAGGATGATAATGAATACTACAGATGCACCAGTAGAGAAACTAAACTTGATTGATACATTACAAAAGTTATGTGTGGCTTATAACTTTGAAGAAGAGATAGAAGATGCTTTGCAAAAAATTTATAATGATTGTGACATTCATCATTATAATGATCTCCACAGTGTTTCAGTGTATTTTCGACTGCTTTGACAACAAGAAATTAAGGTTTCCTATGGTAAGTAAGCTATGTCAAATAATATTCATAATACTCACTCATGAAATTAATAAAATATGAACATATTGTTGTTGTGAGCAGATGTATTTGAAAAGTTCAAAGATGTTGATAGGAAATTCAAGTCATCCTTGATTAATGATGTTCAAGGAATGCTAAATTTGGGTGAGGCGGCACACTTCGCTATTCATGGAGAAGATATTCTGGATGAAGCCCTCGCTTTTACAGCCACTCAGCTTAAGTCAGTGGCATCTCGTGTAAGCACTCACGTTGCAGAAGAAATAAATCATACTTTGAAATTTTCTATCCGTAAGAGCGTACCAAGGCTTGAGGCAAGATTTTTCTTGTCCACCAATGCAAGAGATGATTCTCACAATAAAACTTTGCTTAAATTTGCGAAGTTGGACTATAACATACTTCAACTGAGGCACCGGAAGCAACTCAGTGATATCTTAAAGTAAGTTCATACTTTTAATTACATCACAAAATTGATTTGGAGCTTTATTTTATTTTATTAAAGGTTGTTCAGCACCCACCCACACCCGCACCCCCTTACTAAAAACCAAAACATCATCAACATAGACTATACAAAAGTTGGATAAGTCTCCAAAAACTTGATCCATTTTCCTCTGGAATATTGTTGGTGCTTGCTTAAGTCCAAAAGGCAAAACCATCCATTCAAACAATCCTTTCGGACAGGTGAAAGCCGTCAAAGGAATGCTTGACTCCGCCATCCTGGTCTGCTAAAATCCTGACTTTAGATCAAATTTGGAGAAGATTTTTTCAAATCTAGCTTTATTCAAACAAGCCGATTTGTTTGGTATCTTATAAGCATCGTCAATGGTTTTTTCATTTAACTGCCTATAATCGATAACCATCCGCGCTTTACCTCTTAACTGCTCAGCTCTATTCATGACCATGAATGCTGG